TCAGGTTACAGACGCTTCAGGTTACAGACTCCCCTAACCCAGAAATAGTACCTCAGGTTAAGAACTTTGCATCAGGATGAGAACAGAAATTGTGCTCCGGTGGTTCGGCAGCAGCAGGAGGCCCCATTAGCTAAAGTGGTACCTCAGGTTAAGAACAGTTTCAGGTTCAGAACGGACCTCCAGAAGGAATTAAGTTCTTAACCCGAGGTACCACTGTACTTTCTGCGCCAGGTCATGACACCCAGGTATCAGTTGCACATTTGAAGATTCAGAGAGTCAACTCTTCTGCTGATTAAAGAAGGAAAATGATTAAAGAAACTGAAATGGGAAAAGATCTAAAACCCACACTTGCCAGAGTATCATAGAATTGTAGAATTGGAAGGGATCACAGAGTTCATTTAGCCCAAGTCCCCACGATGCAGGTATCTCAACTAGATCATCCATGACAGATGGCCATCCGACCTTTTCATATAAACCTCCAAGGAGGCACCACAACCTCCCAACTGAACAGCTCTGACTGTCAGAAAGCTCTTCCTGATGTTGAGTCGGAATATCCTTTCTTGTAGCTTGAAGCCATTGCTTCGAGTCCTACCCTCCAGAGCAGGAGAAAACAAGCTTGCCCCATCTTCCGTATGGCAGCCCTTAAGATATTTGAAAATGACTATCATATCTCCTCCTTTCCAGGCTAGACATGTCCAACTCCCTCAGACGTTCCTCATAAGGCTTGGTTTCCAGACCTTTGATCATCTTGGCTGCCCTCCTCTGCACATGTTCCAGCTTGTCAACATCCTTCTTAAATTGTGGTACAGTATCTGACATGCCCATTTCTGTGTGAAGCAGAGGGGCACCGAAGCAGACATTTGTGCCGCGTGTAGAAATATCTCCCCTGACCTCTGCTACTCCATCTCCCCGCTTTCTGCTATTCGCAAAGCTTCCCACTTTGTGCCAGATTTGACTTTGCAACAATAAGGGCTAGAAGCGTGCCCTTCCAAACAGAAACAAAACCCTGCAACTACGGGAGCTCAGCTTTTTACAGATTTTGTGTTAGGTGTCGAGTCTTGTGCTCTGTGGCGTGGCCCTAAGCCTCAAATTTACCACCTAGCCAAGTGGGGCCTCAATGTCAATCGTAGCCTTTAGGACGTGCAACAAATTGGACTGCAGATAAATTATTCCACCCTAACCTAACCTCCTTGCCACAAGATGTGATCAAACTGCCAATTGCAGCATGTGTAATCAATCTCTGTATGAGACGTTTCATTTTTGCTGTGCTGTGCATTAAAAGAGAGGCTGTGTTTTGTTGCTGTGGAGGAAATATTGCTTTTTCTCAAAAAAAAAAAGTCCCCCACCCACCCACCCCGTTCTAAGATCTACAAAAAAAAATTTCCCTCCTCCCTTTTTTTTGCAATCAGATATAGAGACATGAAGAAACCAAGCTTGATTTCATATATCCAAGGGTAGTTTAAACAACAGTGCCTGGTGGCCGGGTAGTAGGGAGACAATTATTTTTAAACATCATGCGTCTGAAGGGGAGGGAAGAAAAAACCTTGAACAACATCTTTTTTTTCCTTTTCTCCCTCTGGCCACTTGTTGCTTTGATTAACGAGCCCATCTCTTCAGCTGCTATTCACACAGCTCAATAAAAACACTGTGGGATAGTTTAAGATTCTTTCTGGCATCTTGTTCAATATTCACGCTGTTTTCCATCAGCGTTATTAAAAACCAGATACAAAAGGAAGTTGTTTAAACAGGGCGGGGGCGGGGGCGAGGGGGGGAAGCCTCCCCTTATATCTGCCTGTTCAAATAGCAGCGGGTGCATTTTCTACCCAGGTGAGAAAATGGTGTCATTTGGCTGGCTGGGGGGGGGGGAGCTCTTTGAACGAACGAACGAAGCTATAATGAAGAGGCCTGGCCCAAAACTGGCACGTTTCCCAGGCCCCGAAAACGAGCGAGCGCAGTGGTGTCCTCGCAGAAACCTGGCTTCCTTTCAGCCCAGAGACTTATTAGGTTTGGGTGCCTCCCGCCATGTTTTGTTCTTCATCCCCAAATCCCTTCTTCTGAAGAATTATGTGGCGAACTCCAAGGAGCACCGTCCTCTTGGTCACCATAGTAACCCAAGAGCATTCCAGCTAGGCACTGTGCGCCAGATACAATATTCAAGCAATCTGCCCTCCCCTGGCCATTCCACAGTCGCCTACCCAGAGAGCGACTAAAGAGGGCATTTCTGAGAAACAACCGTTGGCAAGGGGCACAAAGAGTCTGTAATAGCACACCCCACCTGGGGGTCAGCCTAATGCTTGCTGTTAAGCCCTCCACCGGCTTGTTCCCTGCGCAACGTCTGCCCGAAAACCTCAGGTAGCCAGATTAAGCGTGACAAAAGAGAATTTCGGCAGAAGCCGCTTCTCCCTTTGGAGTTGGTGGTTAAGCATATGGGCTGAGAAGTCCATATGCACAGGCGGACACTCAGAGATAATAAACCAAGGCTGCGTGTTCTGTAATAGGTGTCATGTTCCAGAGCCATAAATCAATCCACACTACCTCTCTCTCAACCCCACATCTGTATTATGTGCGGATGTTAACAGCACCAGCCTATCTTGCAAGACTGCAAGAGGGATTACCGCGATAAAAGTACTTAGATGCTATCGAAGCGCTCAACATCATTACAGCAGCGGCTGATGGAACGGCGCTGCCAAACGTCCCGTTCATTTAGGGTTTTTAAAAATTCTGTACGACTTTTGCATAAAAACGTGCGTGCTCCCATTTGCACACTGTTAAGGCTCAGCAGCTGCTGTGCGGTAATTTGTTGTGTTCATAAAATCATGTACAGTATAAATAGGTGACAGCTAAGCTAGTCCTGGGGACACGGGTGGCGCTGTGGGTTAAACCACAGAGCCTAGGACTTGCTGATCAGAAGGTCGGCGGTTCGAATCCCCACGACGGGGTGAGCTCCCGTTGCTCGGTCCCAGCTCCTGCCAACCTAGCAGTTTGAAAGCACGTCAAAGTGCAAGTAGATAAGTAGGTACCACTCCGGCGGGAAGGTAAACGGCGTTTCCGTGCGCTGCTCTGGTTCGCCAGAAGCGGCTTAGTCATGCTGGTCACATGACCCGGAAGCTGTACGCCGGCTCCCTCGACCTGTAAAGCGAGATGAGCGCCGCAACCCCAGAGTCGGTCATGACTGGACCTAATGGTCAGGGGTCCCTTTAACTTTAACTTACTAAAATGAGGCTGCATTTTAAGCTGTATTTTAAGCCATATTTTAATTAACTGTTTGTTGTTGTTGTTGTTTACTATTACGTTTTATTGTAATTCATATTTGGTGTTAGCCGCCCTGAGCCCGGCTCTAGCCAGGGAGGGCGGGGTATAAATAAAATTTTATTATTTATTATTATTATTATTCTCTAAATCAGGGGCGACTATGGAAAATAGGGACACTTGGAGGGTCTGCAACAGGCTCAAGGGTCCATAAAGAGTTTTATGGTTTTGTAAAGGTAAAGGGACCCTGACCATTAGGTCCAGTCATGGCCGACTCTGGGGTTGCGGCACTCATCTTGCTTTACAGGCCGAGGGAGCCGGCGTACAGCTTCCAGGTCATGTGGCCAGCATGACTAAGCCACTTCTGGAGAACCAGAGCAGCGCATGGAAACGCCATTTACCTTCCCGCCAGAGCGGTACCTATTTATCTACTTGCACTTTTGACGTGCTTTCGAACTGCTAGGTTGGCAGGAGCAGGGACCGAGCAATGGGAGCTCACCCCGTCGCGGGGATTCGAACCACGACCTTCTGATCGGTAAGTCCTAGGCTCTGTGGTTTAAGTCGGTCTTAATAAGGAATGCGTTGCTTGAGAAAAATACAGTGGTACCTCAGGTTAAATACTTAATTTATTCCGGAGGTCCGTATTTAACCTGAAACTGTTCTTAACCTGAAGCACCACTTTAGCTAATGGGGCCTCCTGCTGCCGCCACGCCGCCGGAGCACAATTTCTGTTCTCATCCTGAAGTGGAGTCTGTAACCTGAAGCGTATGTAACCAGAGGTACCACTGTATGACAGTTGTGTGGCGTATTTGGGCAATATCCTTCACTCCCTAAGAGTTATTCATGGGCTTGCATTTCCCTGACCAGATAATCAAAGGATTGGGTGTGGTATTTCGCTGACCCGTCAGAAGCAGTTGTGCGGCCTGATTTAAAGCTTCTATAGCTGGGGGAGCTGACCATGGATAAGAGTTGAAATTCAAAAACATCTGAGGGCACCATGTTGTCTCCCCCTGCCTTCTGGTGTGGCAGCCATTTATTTCAGCATCGTATTCTCCTGTTCTGCCCCCCAATTATGCATGTAAGCAAGCACCGTGTGGGTAGATGGGACCAGTGCTATTTTTCTAGAAAAAAGAGGTGCTGGAACTCAGCGCGAAAGCCTCCCTCATTCTCTTAGAATGGCAAGGGCACCTGCCTGAGAGGTGATGGAACTGAGTTCCGGTGAATTCTGACTGGGGCGGAAAGCAAAAGGATGGCGGTCTAGGAACTTGCCACCTCACCCTAACCATGGCCTGCTTGTTTACCTCCATGACCGGAGAGACACGAGGAACGGTGCCAAAGCAGCTGCCATGCCACAGCAGCAGTATTTGTTTCAGTTGGCCCTGAACCTAATCCTCGTTTTGTTGTAAACCAAGTGGCGCTTAAGCTTTTGCGTTTCAAATGTCGAGCCTGTGTTGGCTACAAAGTACACCCAGTCTGAAAAACAGGCCTCTCGTTTCTCTCTCGCTGACCGTATTCAAAAGTGATGTAAGAAGAGGCCCTCAGCTTTAGTTGTGTGAAACAACTCCAGGACCTAGGACCTAATGAGGTGAAGCAGATGGTGACAAGGTAGAGGGGCCGTTTCAGTGCTGTGCCCCTATTAAGGAATTCGCTTTCTCCAGAGAAGCTCACCTGTGCCTGGGTTTGGGTCCTTTTGGTGCCAGGTGTAATGACCCTGAGGGTCATCTAGTACAACCTCTGGCAATGCAGGAATATACATCTTCCTTTACAGGGTTCGAACCTGCAACCATGGCATTATCAGCACCACGCTCTAACCAACTGAGCTATAAATGCAGTTGATTTTTGATTGTATTTGTGTCTTATTGATTTTAATTTGGCAATCAGCCAGAGGACATGGTTAATTAGGTGGTGTATAAAATGCCATAAATGAGTAAACAAATATCTCTGCAGCATATCTGAGCTGCCTTTCTCCTGAGGAACTCTGGCATTCCCACTTTCTAAGACCCTTGAATGTCCGATCCTGGCCCCTCATGCATGATCGAGGTTCTTCGGATAGTTGAGAAGAGCTTGTGCTATGTTCTGTATTTGATTGTGTTCCTTCAACCCTTCCTTTTGACATTACCTTAATCTTGGGGGGCTTTTATTCTGAAAGGTTGTGAAGATTTTGAACGAAGATGGCTTCCATCCATTTGGGAGCCCTCTTCATTCGCAGAAACTTGGCTACCTGCATGTCTTGGCAGCCATATGAAGAGATCGTAGCCACTTACAGATGTGCATGCGTCGCATGCCTCCACACATGTGGGGGTGCTGTGTCACTCAAGATTTGGGTGGGGGAATAACTCGTGCAATCCCAAAACTCTCTCCTGCACTGAAGGAACATTCGGTGAGGGAGTTCAAGTGACATTACGTAACTGAAAGTTTACACTTAAGTCTTCCTCTGTCTCTAAAGTGCAGTTACCTACACTCCAGGTTTTTTGCTGGAGCCATCTGGAGGAACTGTGACTACATGAGCATACCTTGCTGTGGAGGTACTGGGCAGAGTCCAACATTAGCCTGGAAAAGAGGAGACTGAGAGGAGATATGGTAAAGGTAAAGGGACCCCTGACCATTAGGTCCAGTTGTGACCGACCCTGGGGTTGTGGCGCTCATCTCGCTTTATTGGCCAAGGGAGCCGGCATACAGCTTCCGGGTCATGTGGCCAGCATGACTAAGCCGCTTCTGGCAAACCAGAGCAGCACACAGAAACGCCGTTTACCTTCCCGCCGGAGTGGTACCTATTTATCTACTTGCACTTGGACGTGCTTTCGAACTGCTAGGTTTGGCAGGAGCAGGGACCGAGCAACGGGAGCTCACCCCGTTGCGGGGATTCGAACCGCTGACCTTCTGATCGGCAAGTCCTAGGCTCTGTGGTTTAACCCACAGCGCCACCCGCATCCAGAGATATGGTAGCCATCTTCAAATAGCTGAAGGGCGGCCACATGGAAAATGGAGTAAGCTTGTTTTTCCCCTTCTCTGGAGGGTAGGACATTAACCAATGGCTTCAAATTACAAGAAAGGAGGTTCCAACTAAACCTCATGAAGAACTTTCTGAAGGTAAGAGCTGTTCAATAGTGGGAGGTGGTGGACTCTACTTCCTTGGAGGTTTTGAAGCTGTGATGGCCTGGGACTCGGGCTTGGACTCAGAGCCAGAGGAGTCTCAGTCCGCACCGGATCCTTTGCCTCAGGCGCCATCTGAACCTAGTCTGGGGCCTGATTCTGAAGAGCCCCAGTCTGCACAGGTTCCCCTGCAACAAGCACCAGCTGGGCCGAGTCAGGGGCCTGAGCCTGCCCTGGCTCCAGATGCAGGGATTACTTCGTTGCCTCCAGCTGGGCAATCACTTACAGCTGCCCCACTACCAGTTGGGTCAGGAGAGGCTGAGGTGGCCTCTGGGTCTAGTAACCCACTGACATCTCATGAGCTGCAGAGACTGAGGTCTGAGAGAAGGAGAGACCTGAGTACTCGCAGGAGGAGTGCTCGCCTTTGGGCGAGACAGCGAGGTGAGTCACCGGGGGATCAGGACCGGCCGTTACCCCGACAGAGATAAAAGGCTGCTCCCAGGTTGTGGGAGCAATGTTGCTGTTTGTCAGAACCTGCCTGTGATCCTGTGCCTGACCTTGCCTGCTTTCCTGCCTCGTGTCCTGCCTTGGCCCTGTCAGACGGAATCCTCGCGGAACCCTTGGATTCGGGACCGGACTTGGACCGTGTTACTCGGGTTACCCCCTGGTCCAGCACAGAAGCAGAGGTTAGACGGCCGTCTTTCATGGATGCTTTAGCTGAGATTCCTGCATTGCAGCGGGTTTGACTCAATGACCCTATGATTCTATGATCCTACCTGTTCCACTTCTCTGCTTGCAGAGTATGATGAACCTGGCTCCCACTCGCTGGATCATCACTTTGTCGTGGTGAGTGGGCTTGCATGTTCCTATGGCCCTTGTGAGCGAAGCCGTCAGGAATCTCGTACTCCCAGCAGGGTCAACCAAGGCAGTAAGCTCAAAGGGAAGGTTCTAGACAAATGATCCAAGAAGTCCTCAACGGCAGAGCAGGCGGATGACAACAAGCGGTATGTTACAACGGCTGTGAAGGCGGATGAAGGCTGCAGCAGAAGGAATCTACTGGTTTGTCGTGACTACTTCATGCCATCGGAACAGAGCCCTACTGTGAAGAATGTGCATTGTGATCTGCACAAATAAAACAAATTCACACACAGGCGCATAGCTGTCAACTTTTCCTGTTTTTAAAGGGATATTCCCTTATTCCGAATAGGATTCCTCGCAAGAAAAGGGAAAAGTTGACAGCTATGCACAGGCGTCTTCAAAAAACCAAAAACCGTGTCTATGGAAGACAATCTTACTCAGCTACGAGTGATCGCCAAAGAAGAAGAAGATGATGATGAAGAACCTGGCTCTGTTTAGTAGGCACTGTTTAATGGTATAATATATACCTTGTTGTTATTTGTTTTTGTCTAATGGAAACAAGAGATTCCCAGCAGTGGAGACTGGTCCATTGGGGGGGATGGGCCCATCAAACCCAGTCTGCCCTCAGCTGGCACCCACCCACTTGTTACAAGAGTCTGGGGTGAAATTGCCAGCCCCCTTCATCCCCCTTTGTCTCAATGTTGCCTCTTGTACTCAGCAGGGAAAGAAATGAGGACAAAACTATAATTAGTGAGCTCTGTCATTGGCCCCAGCACCACCCACCAGTGGTCTGCTTGCCTCCTGCCATAGCAGTCCTGGTGGGCACTGACCACCCCTGATTCCCAAAAAATGAGATTTCTTGCTTGTTTTCCTCACTCTTGTTTCATTTCAGGATCTGTCTCTGCGAGAACAATGGCTGGGTCATTATTTGGAGACACGAAACGAGGGAATCAGAGCTCAGGATTCTCTGCAATGTTGTTCTGACCCACAGAGTGGACTGATAATAATAAGAACAAGATGATTTCTGGCTGGAAATAACTGGAGTTCTTGCCTTTGTAAACAAGAGTTGATGATTCAAGACAGCAAGCTTGTTCCAACAGCCCCTGAAAGAACCTTGGATCATCCCTAATGTTGTTTAGCAACACCTGGTGTAAACCTTTAAAATTGCACTGGACGGCGCAAGGAATTGACAGCTTGTACAGGAATTGCGGGTAATGAGAAAACCTGGTTGTTCTAACCCTGTCTAAACAGTGTCAACAATGCTGCCTAAATGGTGTCAGTTTAACCAAGGACTCCATTACTGATGAGATGGCATCATTTAGCAGGGGCTGCAATATAACAGATGGATGGTGAGTCCGACTGGAGTCAACATCTGGATTTATTGACTGAGACAGACATAATAGAGCAAGGGTTTGCCTCACTCAATATTTACCAGTAGAGACCATAAATCTTGGCATTGACCAACAACAAAAGTCAATATGTATGCATTGTTACATACTTTCCTTTTGGCCAAAGCAGCCGTTCTCGATATGGATTTAATTAAATATAGCTTAATACTGAGTTATAGCATGGCTGGAGCATGACAGTATGTGCAGGAAATGTGGATTTGATAACATGGCAGCCACCTTTGGTTTGCTGTAATCCCACAGCTAGTGAGAGAGGAACAAGTATTGCTTTGAGACTAAAGAATTTTTTGTCCCTGATGGCCGTATATCAGCAATTGGGCTTCAGAAGAACCATGTTAAACAAGATGATGTCATTCTGTTTGGGAGAGTTTAAGTCCCCTATGAATATCTACAGGGTATTTGGCCTGCATAGGAATCAATTATAAACAAGACAAATGGTGCATTAGAACAGACTCTTGGTGCATGTCTTAGTTGTAATATATGTTGTTCTGCTAAGTAAGAAATGATTTAGAGAAACCCTAAGCAGGTCATGTTCCATCAAGAAACTTTTTTAAAAAGAAAAGAAAAATTATGTGGGCAGTGATTATCTTGACCATGGGACCAGCAATCTGGCAGAAAGTTGTGAAAAGATTCCCTCCTCTCTTCTAAGAGTTTGGAAGTTTGTAGGGACTCTTAACTATGGTTTCACAGTGCCAGAGACCTCAAGCTGACAGATTGGTCACACGTGAGATTGTGTGATTCTACACATATAATGAGGTGATAGCCCCATTACGGTCTTTTCCCAGCCCCCAGTCTTGATTAGCCAAGACTAAGCATGACAATCAGTAAACCAGAGAGAGTGATTTGTGTGCTTTACTTGCTGCAAAGTGCTGTGAGTCTTTGCTGGAGGAATTTAATAAACTTAAACCTAATCCTGTGGCCTCCAGCAGCTCCCATCATGAGAGCCATCTTCAAATTTCTCAAGGTCTGTCGCGTGGAAGAGGAAACAAGCTGTTTTCTCCTGCACTGGAGGGTTAGGACACAAACCAATGGCTTCAAAGTTACAGTAAAGGAGATTCCGACATCAGGAAGAACTTTCGGACAGTAAAAGCTGTTCTACAGTGGAACGGTCTAATAAAATACAGGATTCTCAGCTAACATCTCCCTCAGAAGGTGGTGGACTCTTCCACATTGGAGGTTTTTAAGCAGAGGTTGGAAGGCCATCTGTCATGGATGCTTTAGTGGAGATTCCAGCATTGCAGGCGGTTGGACTAGATGACCCGGGGTCCCTTTCAACTCTATGATTCTACGATCCCTGCCCATTGGCTGTGCTGCCTGGGGCTGGTGGGAGTTGGAGTCCCATTGCATCCAGAGAGCCCACAAATTCCCTACCCCTTTCTACCCCTTTCCATCTGACACCCTTTATTGCACACTTCTGAATTCTCTTTGATTTCCATCTCTGTCTTGAAATACAATACAGCAGGGCACTCCAGCTGTGACTTGTGTTACATGGTTCCAAGATCAACCTTGTCTCAGATGCTCTGCTTCTGCAAATACTTGCTTTTTTGGATACAACATCAAATGCAATGAATTGTGTGTGTTTTTTGTGTACCTTTCTCAGGCCATACATTTTTCAAGTCACAAAACTTGAGAATTTCAAAGTGATGGGTCCTAAACGTGAGTTGAATATGTCGCCTGCCTTTTAAAATATGCTCTTATTTTCTGATCTCCCTTATAACTTCTCTGAATATCTTCTTGCACGAGATGTTCCACTATCCTAGTCTTTAATGTGAGACTAGTTCATACTGAGCTGCTTATCAAAACATTTCTTTCCTTCTTCCAGTTAAAGTCAGTGGAAACAAATCGTCAAGACTAGTTTTTAGCTCTCTGTGTAAGAACTATCCTTTCAGAAGTGGCTGCATTGTAGGAAGCAGGTGAATTATGGAGAAGTATGTGTCAGAAAATGTAACAGGCACTTCTCCATGCTTTTCACTTGGTTTTCCTAGATCACCACCCAGCAGAGCGCAAACACTTCTCTTTGGTTTCTATTTGCTTTTGAATGTCGGTGGCAAGGCTCAACTGCTACTGAAAATCAGCAGGCGGAATCCAGTGGCTTACAATATCATTATGCAAAGTGATGCCCTTGCAAAACAGTAAAATGGATGGTGTAAGATGCTGCTGGAGCTCTGCTTGAGTAAAACTAGGATAAAGGCTCTTCACGCATCTTATGGTCAGGGCCCCTTTCCCCACATCAATTCCTCTGCCGTGGAGTCCCCTTGCCTTTCTCACAAAAGATTACTAGGGTATGTTCTAGATGCATTTTATAGGGAAGAGCTGGCTGCATTGCAGAGGGCTTAGCAAAATAAGCAGGAAGGCCCCCAAACACAAGAAATACACATGTCAGGCACTCTGCACATGCCCTGAAATGATGTGCTTCCTTTAAACTTCATTCGGCAGGTAACTGTACTGGCAGAGGACCTCTGGAATAAACCGTCTGCCCTCACCGAAAAGAGATTGTTTGTCCTCGTAGGAACGAGAGGCGCAAAATCTAATGCCTAAATGTGTGCATGATCATTTGCTCACTGCCAACATACCTATGTTTGGACTCCAGTAGCCCTGGGAATAACAAAAGCTTCCTCATCCATTAACTCAATCCAGAGCTATCTGCATCTCCTAAGGTTAAACCTCCTTCTCCTTTATGTCCAACACGGGGCACACTTCAAATCAAATACCTTTATTGGCACAACAGTATAAAACATTTCAAGATACTGCAGCCAATCAGAAGCCGCACTTTGGTTTCCAAACGTTTTGGAAGTTGAACGAAATGGATTCCGTTCGACTTCCAAAGTACAGCTGTATTTACTTAGAGCAGGCATAGGCAAACTCCGGCCCTCCAGATGTTTTGGGACTACAGTTCCCATTATCCCTGACCACTGGTCCTGTTAGCTAGGGATGATGGGAGTTGTAGTCCCAAAACATCTGGAGGGCCGAGTTCTGCAATATTGCCATAGGGGGTGCTGATATTCAGGGCAAATGTAACATCTAGACAGGTTCTGAGTGACTCTTGTCCCCCTGAAATGACAAGCCCTTGGCCAACAAAGGGGATAAAGTACCAGCAAGGTTGCTGTAGACATATTTCCTTACGTGATGGATAGAGGCCTTATGAGTTTTGACTGCATTTCGATTATGTAGAACCCCAAACAGCAATGTCACATCCATTCAGCACTTACATCTGTTCATCCAGCCCAAGCTCTTTATTAAGCTGCACAGTTTTACCCTTTATTCCTGCTCCAAGACTGTCTGAATATTATAAGCTTTGCTCTCTTTCATTTTTAATCTTTTGAAATTCCTCATTATGTGAAGACTAGAGCAGTGAGCTTCATCCGCTACATAGCCAGATAACAAAATTTCAGCAGACTTGTGGCTGTTAGAGTCCTATAGTCTTGTGTGTGTTTTTAGAAGAAAGGAGACCCGGACTTTGCTGCAAAGCTATCTTAGTCATAGCTACGTGATCAATACATGAAAAGCGTGTCCCATATGTATTGTTAACACAGCATAACACAAGGGCTTCATCGAGGGCACACCAACCCTCATTGAATGAAGATGGTCAGAGATCTATCCCAATGTATTTTAGACTCCTGCAAGCCCATAGAAGACCCCTCACACCCAGTGTCATGACCCATGATCTGTGCCCTGTGTAAAAGGGGGGACAAGACTGCAATTCCATTCATAGAGGAAGAACTAGCAAGACCTTCCTCAGGACTTCCCCAGTTGGAGGACATGGAACTGCTGTCCTCAGATGTAGAGGACTCTCCCTTGCCTCCCTAGTCCCTTGAGAATCAAAGATTGCAAAACAAGGAGAGAACTCTTTAACAGCCAGCCAACTCCTACAGGCCCAGTCAACACATATAGGGCTTCAGTTGGGTCTAGGTGTTTGTAGACATAATACAGCACAGTGCCGGGAGAGTGGTTGGCACTGTGGTCTAAACCACTGAGCCAATTGCACTTGCTAATCGGAAGGTCGGCAGTTCGAATCCACACGACAGGGTGAACTCCTGTTGCTCTGTCCCAACCTAGCATTTCAAAAGTATACCAGTGTGAGTAGATACAGTGGTACCTCTGGATACGAACTTAATTTATTCCAGGGGTCTGTTCTTACCCTGAAACATTTGCATCCAGAGGTGTGCTGTTCTGCACAGGCGTGGGCGGTGGTAGATCACTTCTGCGCAGGCACGGGTGGCAGAAACCTTTCCTTTACTTCCGGGTTTGCTGCGTGTGTAGCCTGAAGCATTCGCAAAGGGGGTGGCTCGTATCCAGAGGTACCATTGTAAATAGGTGTGACGGGAAGGTAAACAGCGTTTCCATGCTCTCTGACACTCATCACGGTGTCCATTGCACCAGAAACGGTTTAGTCCTGCTGGCCACATGACCCGGAAAGCTGTCTGTGGACAAACGCCGGCTCCCTCGGCCTGAAAAGCAAGATGAGTGCCACAACCCCATAGTCGTCTTTGACCAGACTTAACCATCCAGGGGTCCTTTACCTTACCTTTACCTTAAAGTGCCAGGATCCCAGAAGTGGGTCCCAGAAATGGGGAGCACTCTGGAGAGGAGTCCTGGCTCTCAAGGAGACCCTTCCCAGAGCCCAAAGAGGACAACCTCTGTAAGGAGGATCTCCTTGCGAGCAAGAGGCCTCCCTGCCTAACAGCTGACATGCGGCGTAGTGCAGCAGCAGCCTTTTGCCCCTCTGTCAGCTGTGTGAGAGCCAAGCTGTCCCTCCTCTTACACGCATGAGCCAGAGGGACAGCGCAGATCTCATAGTTGATGGGTGGGTTTTGGTTTTTTTCCTTTTCCATTTTGCGCAATTTTGCATATGCACACAGGGGTTCAAATCCAGAGTCACCTGTCTTAACAGGACCCTGGGAGCTATCCAAGGTCCTGCAGGTACTCTGCCATAGTTTCTTGCCTTGAATTGCTAACTCAGACTATTAACTCAGTCTCAGACTATTGACACAAGCTCTGGATGGAACAATGCTGGTCTTTCTCTGTGAGTCTTGAGCACTCGTGAAACAACACACTCTCTTGCTGATGTCTGCACTCCATTGCTGCCATTGTGAGGGCAGGGCAAGCTAAGCAAGAACCCAGATCCCACTGTGCGAAAAGTCTTCAACCGATTCAGACCCAGAGCCCGCATTTAACTCCAACTTGCAACATGGGACCCAGAATCAATTTTTCAATATACACATCTCTCAGATACCCTTTCAGGTCTATACTCCTAAAGCAGGGGTCCCCAAACTAAGGCCCGTGGGCCAGATAAGGCCTGAGGGACTCGTTTATCCGGCCCGCGGCACCACCACCCCGCCCGCTGCTGCACGCCTGCCCACTTCTGGGTCGGAGGAGCACCGGAAATAGCTTGTGCACATGCGAGGGATTATTTTTTTTTAATAAGATATTTATTAAGCTTTTTTAAAGTATTACAATAAAAATGAAAAAAATAACAAAAATACAAAATAAAAATAATTAAAAACACACAGATTTTCCATTACTTGTTTTCCTTTAGCTTGTTTCCCGGACCTCCTCATACCTCCATTTTTTGTATTCCAGTTCAATTTGTTGGTTCAGCAAATCCTTACCCTCTTTATTTATCCTAATCTTTAGTCTTAAAATAGTAACGTTAAATTTTTACCTATTAACAACCCATTTTTCATAATCCCTTAAAGCATTACAGCTGGAAACCACTTAATTTCTATCCAACATCATTCTAACATTCATTAATTTTACAATAATTCTGTAGATAGTCTTTGAATTTCTTCCAATCTTCTTCCACCGACTCTTCTCCCTGGTCTCGGATTCTGCCAGTCATTTCTGCCAGTTCCATATAGTCCATCAGCTTCATCTGCCATTCTTCCAGAGTGGGTAGATCTTGTGTCTTCCAATACTTTGCAATGAGTATTCTTGCTGCTGTTGTGGCATACATAAAAAAGGTTCTATCCTTCTTTGGCACCAATTGGCCGACTATGCCCAGGAGAAAGGCCTCTGGTTTCTTCAAGAAGATATATTTAAATACCTTTTTCAGTTCATTATATATCATTTCCCAGAAAGCCTTAATCCTTGGGCACGTCCACCAAAGGTGAAAGAATGTACCTTCAGTTTCTTTACATTTCCAACATTTGTTATCGGGCAAGTGATAAATTTTTGCAAGCTTGACTGGGGTCATGTACCACCTGTCTATCATTTTCATAATATTCTCTCTTAAAGCATTACATGCCGTAAACTTCATACCTGTGGTCCACAACTGTTCCCAGTCAGCAAACATAATGTTATGTCCAAAATCTTGTGCCCATTTAATCATAGCAGATTTCACCGTTTCATCCTGAGTATTCCATTTCAACAGCAAGTTATACATCTTTGACAAAATCTTAGTTTTGGGTTCTAACAGTTCTGTTTCTAATTTTGATTTTTCCACCTGGAAGCCAATTTTCTTGTCCAAATTATATGCCTCCATTATCTGATAATAATGAAGCCAGTCTCGCACTTTATTTTTTAGTTTCTCAAAACTCTGCAGTTTCAGTCTATCTCCATCTTGTTCCAAAATTTCCCAATATTTCGGCCAATTGGCCTCCATATTGAGGCTTTTCAGAGCTTTCGCTTCCATCGGTGACAGCCACCTTGGGGTTTTGTTTTCCAATAAATCCTTGTATCTTATCCAAACATTAAACAATGCTTTCCTGACAATATGGTTTTTAAATGCTTTATGCGCTTTGACCTTGTCATACCACAGATATGCATGCCATCCAAATACATTGTTAAAACCTTCTAGGTCCAAAATGTCTGTGTTTTCAAGAAGTAGCCATTCTTTCAACCAGCAAAAAGCTGCTGATTCATAGTAAAGTTTAAAGTCTGGCAGGGCAAATCCACCCCTTTCCTTTGCATCAGTTAATATCTTAAATTTTATTCTGGGCTTCTTGCCCTGCCAGACAAATCTAGAAATATCTCTCTGCCACTTCTTGAAACAATCCATCTTGTCCACAATTTGCAATGTTTGAAACAAAAACAGCATTCTAGGCAATACATTCATTTTTATCACAGCAATACGACCCAACAGTGAAAGCTTCAAATTTGACCAAATTTCTAAATCTTTTTCACTTCCGTCCAACATTTTTCATAATTATCTTTAAATAAGTTCCCATTTTTGGCTGTCATATTAATCCCCAGGTATTTCACTTTCTTAACCACAGTCAAACCTGTCTCATTCTGAAACCTCTCTCTTTCAATCGGTGTTAAATTTTTCTCTAAAACCTTAGTTTTTAACTTGTTCAGTTTAAATCCTGCCACTTGACCAAATTCTTGAATTAGTTCTAAAACCCTTTTAGTACTAGATTCTGGCTCCTGTAACGTCAATACTAAGTCATCTGCAAATGCTCTCAGTTTGTACTGTTTGGCTCCGACCTGTATGCCTTTAATCCCTTCTAATCATATTCAGCAGAACCTCCAGGACCGATATAAAAAGCAGTGGGGAGATTGGGCACCCCTGTCGTGTCCCTTCTTCTATCTTAAATTCTTCCGTCACCACATTATTTACAATTAATTTAGCCTTTTGTTCAGAGTATATTGCACCTATACCATTTTCAAAACCTTGGCCTACCCCCATCCCCTGTAGGTTCTTCTTCATAAAACTCCAAGAGATGTTGTCAAAGGCTTTCTCCGCGTCCACAAATATCAGAACTGCTTTAGTATTTATATTCACTTCTAATTTTTCCAAAATATCAATTATATTCCTCAAATTATCAGACAAGTGTCTTCCCGGGAGAAAGCCCACTTGGTCTTTATTATTTGCACATGTTGTTGTTTAGTCATTTAGTCGTGTCCGACTCTTCGTGACCCCATGGACCAGAGCATGCCAGGCACTTCTGTCTTTCTTCCACTGCCTCCCGCAGTTTAGTCAAACTCATGCTGGTAGCTTCGAGAACACTATCCAACCATCTCATCCTCTGTCATCCCCTTCTCCTTGTGCCCTCCATCTTTCCCAACATCAGGGTCTTTTCCAGGGAGTCTTCTCTTCTCATGAGGCGGCCAAAGTATTGGAGTCTCAGCTTCACGATCTGTCCTTCCAGTGAGCACTCAGGGCTGATTTCCTTCAGAATGGAGAGGTTGGATCTTCTTGCAGTCCATGGGACTCTCAAGAGTCTCCTCCAGCACCATAATTCAAAAGCATCAATTCTTTGGCGATCAGCCTTCTTTATGGTCCAGCTCTCACTTCCATACATCACTACTGGGAAAACCATAGCTTTTACTATACGGACCTTTGTTGGCAAGGTGATGTCTCTGCTTTTTAAGACGCTGTCTAGGTTTGCCATCGCCTTCCTCCCAAGAAGCAGGCGTCTTTTAATTTCGTGACTGCTGTCACCATCTGCAGTGATCATGGAGCCCAAGAAAGTAAAATCTCTCACTGCCTCCATTTCTTCCCCTTCTATTTGCCAGGAGGTGATGGGACCAGTGGCCATGATCTTCATTTTTTGATGTTGAGCTTCAGACCATATTTTGCGCTCTCCTCTTCCACCTTCATTAAAGGTTCTTTAATTCCTCCTCACTTTCTGCCATCAAGGTTGTGTCATCTGCATATCTGAGGTTGTTGATATTTCTTCCGGCAATCTTAATTCTGGCTAGGGATTCATCCAGCCCAGCCTTTTGCATGATGAATTCTGCATATAAGTTAAATAAGCAGGAGACAATATACAGCCTTGTCGTACTCCTTTCCCAATGTTGAACCAATCAGTTGTTCCATATCCAGTTCTAACTGTAGCTTCTTGTCCCACATAGAGATTTCTCAGGAGACAGATGAGGTGATCAGGCACTCCCATTTCTTTAAGAACTTGCCATAGTTCGCTGTGGTCGACACAGTCAAATGCTTTTGCGTAGTCAATGAAGCAGAAGTAGATGTTTTTCTGGAATTCTCTAGCTTTCTCCATAATCCAGCGCATGTTTGTAATTTGGTCTCTGGTTCCTCTGCCCCTTCGAAATCCAGCTTGCACTTCTGGGAGTTCTCGGTCCACATACTGCTTAAGCATGCCTTGTAGAATTCTAAGCATAACCTTGCTAGCGTGTGAAATGAGTGCAATTGTGAGGTAGTTGAAGCATTCTTTGGCACTGCCCTTCTTTGGGATTGGGATGTAGACTGATCTTCTCCAATCCTCTGGCCACTGCTGAGTTTTCCAAACTTGCTGGCATATTGAGTGTAGCACCTTAACAGCATCATCTTTTAAAATTTTAAATAGTTCAGCTGGAATACCATCACTTCCACTGGCCTTGTTATTAGCAGTGCTTTCTAAAGTCCGTTTGACTTTACTCTCCAGGATGTCTGGCTCAAGGTCAGCAACCACACTACCTGGGGTGTACGAGACATCCATATCTTTCTGGTATAATTCCTCTGTGTATTCTTGTCACCTCTTCTTGATGTCTTCTGCTTCTGTTAGGTCCTTACCACTTTTGTCCTTTATTATGGTAATCTTTGTACGAAATGTTCCTTTCATATCTCCAATTTTCTTGAACAGATCTCTGGTTCTTCCCATTCTGTTGTTTTCCTCTATTTCTTTGCATTGCTCGTTTAAGAAGGCCTTCTTGTCTCTCCTTGCTATTTTTTTGAAATCCGCATTCAATTTCCTGTATCTTTCACTATCTCCCTCGCATTTTGCTTGCCTTCTCTCCCCCGCTATTTGTAAGGCCTCATTGGACAGCCACTTTGCTTTCTTGCATTCCTTTTTCATTGGGATGGTTTTCGTTGCTGCCTCCTGTATAATGTTGCAAGCCTCCACCCATAGTTCTTCAGGCACTCTGTCCAGCAAATCTAAATCCTTAAACCTGTTCCTCACTTCCACTGTGTATTCATAAGGGATTTGGTTTAGATTGTATCTTACCGGCCCAGTGTTTTTTCCTACTTTCTTCAGTTTAAGCTTGAATTTTGCTATAAGAAGCTGATGATCTGAGCCACAGTCAGCTCCAGGTTTTGTTTTTGCAGACTGTATAGAGCTTCTCCATCTTTGGCTGCAGAGAATATAATCAATCTGCTTTCGATGCTGCCCATCTGGTGATGTCCATGTGTAGAGTCGTCTCCTGTGTTGTTGGAAAAGAGTGTTTGTGATGACCAGCTTGTTCTCTTGACAGAACTCTATTAGCCTTTGCCCTGCTTCTTTTTGATCTCCAAGGCCAAACTTGCCAGTTGTTCCTTTTATCTCTTGATTCCCTACTTTAGCATTCCAGTCCCCTATAATGAGAAGAACATCCTTCTTTGGTGTCACTTTGATAAGGTCTTGTAAGTCTTCATAAAATTGGTCAATTTCAGTTTCTTCAGCACCAGTAGTTGGTGCATAAACTTGGATTACTGTGATGTTAAAAGGTCTGCCTTGGATTCATATCGAGATCATTCTATCATTTTTGAGATTGCATCCCAGGACAGCTTTCGCCACTCTTTTGTTGACTATGAGGGCCACTCCATTTCTTTTACGGGTTTCTTACCCACAGTAGTAGATATGATAGTCATCCGAACTGAATTCGCCCATTCCTGTCCATTTTAGTTCACTGATGCCCAGAATGTCAGTATTTATTCTTGCCATCTCATTTTTGACCACATCCAACTTACTCAGGTTCATGGTTCTTACATTCCAGGTTCCTATGCAATATTTTTCTTTACAGCATTGGACTTTCCTTTCACTTCCAGGCATATCTGCAACTGAGCGTCCTTTCGGCTTTGGCCCAGCCGCTTCATCAGCTCTGGATCTACTTGTACTTGTCCTCCGCTCTTCCCCAGTAGCATGTTGGACGCCTTCCGACCTGAGAGGCTCATCTTCCAGTGTCATAACTTTTATATGCCTGTTGTCTTTGTCCATGGAGTTTTCTTGGCAGGGATACTGGAGTAGCTTGCCAGTTCCTCCTCCAGGTGGATCACGTTTGGTCAAAACTCTCCACTATGACCTGTTCATCTTGGGTGCCTTGCTCGGCATAGTTCATAGCTTCTCTGAGTTATTCAAGCCCCTTCACCACGGCAAGGCAGTTGCGCATGCGCAAGCATTATTTCCAGTGCACATCCAGGTCGGAAGAGGCCCGTGCACATGTGCACAAGCTATTTCCGGTGCTCCTCCGATCCGGAAGTGCGCCGGAAATAGCATGTGCACATGCGTATGGGCACGCGCTCCCCCGCCCTCTGGCCCACCGCGCGATCAGCGCTGGAGACACAGGCCCGAGGCGTGGTAAGTTTGCTGCCCCCTGTCCTAAAGCAATGACTCCCAAACAGATTACTAGGGATTACTCGAGCGGTCATGACTGAATTGGCTTTAGGAGCACTGGACACACTGTTTCAGAGCACCACGAATATTCTTACAAGCAACTGGGGAGATGTATGGCCATTTGACCCATGGCAGAGGCATGAAAGGAGATCAGTTGGATTTGCTCATCCCGGAAGTGTAACCAATTAACTGCCCTGATCTTTATTGCCTCAGATGCATTCTTCCAGTGCTT